TGCTTTAAATTATAGTTATATTAATTTAAAATAAGTTCATTTCACTGGAAAAAAGAGAATAATCACAAATTTTCCAATCAATAATGTTTTAAACTACTAAAATGATATATTATTACATTATGATTTAATTATGGAATAATAATTTTGTTAATTTTTTTGTAATTATTTATATTTATAGTATATATTTCAATTTTAGGAATAATTTTGTATCAAAAATGTGTCTTTGTCCTCTCATCTTGGAAAATATAGGTTTTTGCCAATTTGCTTGGCAAAAGCCTGTTTTTGCCAGGACGGTTTTTACCGGTATTTACCATAGTTTTTTCCACCTGCGGCAAAATCTTGCCAACCCTGGTGTGAACTGTAAAAGAAATTAGTTTAGCTTATTACCTAAAATTAATTTGATTTTAAGACTTTTTCTTTTTTTTTGGTGAGAAATTCGAAGAGATATAAATAATTGTCTATAAACTTGAAGCTAATTTATGTAAATTTAGAGTTTATAACAGAATATAAAAGTGAGAAAAAATGATCAAATGAATGAACACAGAAAACAATGTTACACATAAGAGAAAATAGCTCTTCCGGGTTGGCCTCTTTTCTTCACCTCACGTCCGCTTTGAAGAGAATGTACATAATGGTTTATTCATAGAAGATTCCAGGGGAATTAAATATATGTCCGTATTGAGAGGTATCCATTTTGCAGAAGTGTCCATAACAGGAGGTTTCGCTGTATTTCTATATATCTTTCGTATATGTTGAAGTTATCAGTAAATGACTACAAAATTATTGGTCAGAAGTATAAATCGCAAGGCTATATAAAAGGTTGATATTTGTAAAGTAAACTATAATTTTTCATTTCAGATAAGTGGCCAAAAACTGCTTCGGGTCTTCCAAGCACAGCTGGTACTACAGCAAGTGTTGCATTTATTCGTAAAGGAAAACTGTATACTGGCCATGTTGGAGATTCAAGGATAGTTATTGGATTAAAAGAACGAGGTAATTTACATTGGGATCCTTTTATGTTAATTAGGTATCATAGTGTTTTTGTTCACTGTTTCGAAATTTTTTATTTCTTAATGCTTATGAAAATTAAAGTCCACTGTTCAAAGTTTGCTTTAAGTTATTATGCTGAGTTTGTATATTTCAAATACTTTTGAATTTCAGTAATATTTTGTCTGGTCTGATGCAGAGTTGGGCAAATTATTACCTTTGTGTAATAATTTGCACAATTCTGCTTTTCAAAGAAAGTGATGGCAATTCTCTGAAACTTTCTGAGGGTTTTGTTTACAGTCTAAGAACAGTACCTCTGATTCTAGAAAATGTATTTGAAATATTGGAAATTAAAAAAAAGAAAGAAAAAAAGAATGAACAAGTGGAAGTGTTTGAAAAATGATCGTCAAGAAAACTTGGAATTATAATTGATTCAAGCATGTTAAAAGTTGTTTTTTAAAAAAAATCCTGCTTTTTAAGTTTTCTAACACATAAAAACTTTTTTTTATTGACACAACTCATACTAACTTTTTCTGAATTTGTTTTCTTTCTTTTTTAAAAAAAGAAAGACTTGTTTATTAGTAGTTCCTAGCTTTTCTGACTATCTTTTTCCATTCTGTATTATCCTTTTGTCTGTGAGAAGGGATTATAATAGTTAATGTGATAAAAATAATGATAATCTATTTATCTGTATATTTCTATATAAAATTCAATACATAATCTTTTTCTTCAATTTGCCATTTACAGATATGGATGCTTGGCAAGCAGAGAGTCTCACAATTGATCATAAGCCAGAATCACCTCAAGAGAAGCAGAGAATTATTGAATCTGGTGGATTGGTTATGAACAAATCTGGCGTTGAAAGAGTTGTTTGGAAAAGACCACGCCCAGGCCACGAAGGACCTATTTTACGTAGCACAGATTTTGAAAAGATACCATTCCTTGCTGTTGCACGATCCTTAGGTATGGGTTACTTGCTTAATATAGATTTTAGTTACTAAATTTAAGAGTTAAATTGGGTAGAAATGCATTGAACATAAATCACTTCATTTAAAAAAAATTTTTTAAAGGCAGAAATTAATCTCCCTTTTATGAGTTTCTTAAGCAAAAATCTTATTTTTACTTTTAAATAACATAGATCTAGATTTTGTATTCAAGTAACATGAATTTTACCCTATTCAAAACTTAGTATATTTTAGGCAATTACATTGATTTAACTTTAATTAAAATATGAACTTTTTAATGTAAAATCAATGAACCAGAGGTGTGATGCCTTATGATGAAACTCTTAATCTTTTGTTTCTGGGTGATTATCTTTCAATCCAATAACAAAACGAAATACTTAATTCTAATTGTAGTCCTGTTCTCCATATGACTTACTAGATGGCAGCATTTATTTATCATCTCATATGATTCAGTTGATCAACGGCTGCCAAATGGCAGTCTTTGAAAGGATTGTTAATGGCTGCGAAGGATTTGTTAAAGAAGAAAGATTTTTCTATCGACAGTCATCAGTCAAATTTTCCACCTGTCTTTCGACGCTAAGTGACATTGATAGAATATTATTGCTTTTATTGTGATTATTAAGTACACTTACATCATTATAATTTTTTTTGATTTTTGTTTATCATCCTCGGTTTTCACCTTAAAGAAAAACTTCATTGAAAGTATACATTTGTAAATTTACCACCTTAAATAGCTTTGATTTTTAAAAATCGCTGGAACTTGTCTATTTTTTTTTTAAAGTAAGAAATTTGAAAACTCACTCTAATCAGAGACGGAATTTCTCCTCCTCGTAAAGAAAAAGAGAGAGATGCTATTCTGCAAGATTAAATATTTTCTGCTTGGTGTTTTGTGAGGATCAAAAGATTTGCAAGTGCTCCACTAGAGGGCACCACTTTGCTTTCATATCAGCTAATCAGCTCTCTGATTCTTCTGCCAACTAACAAAGCTGTTGTTAAACGGCAATATCACTCACGGTTTGTGACCGTCAAAACTCACTTGTTCTGTTCATTAGGTGGAACGTATTTCAGTGAGCTGTCATCACATGTACTGTCAATAAATTCGCCATAACACTAGCAGAGCTTTACTGTCTAAAATTTTCATTTAAAAAAAAGGAAACTGGCCCACCAGTTAAATTTTATGTTTAGTTTTTCAAATATATAAGAAACAATTTTAATTTTTTCAAGCTGACTAGCAGTCATATGATTATTGCTTAATCTGATACATCAGATTGCTTCATTGTTGTGTCTTTAAATTCATGCATTTTATTTAAGTCTAAATAATTATCTTAAAAAAATTTCTTCATATGTAAAATGTTTAGGTGATTTATGGAGCTACGATCATTTACAACAAGAGTTTGCTGTTAGTCCTGAACCTGATCTTGGAGTAATGAATCTTGATCTCAAAAAGGATAAATGTTTAATTCTTGCATCTGATGGATTGTGGAACATTATGTCTCCCCAAGCTGCTGTTCATTTAGTGCAAGATGTGGAAAATGAAAATAGGAAGCTGATAACAAAATTTGGAATCTCAGAAAATATAGTGAGTTTTACATTTGTAGCAGCTTTTACTCAAAGTGTATCTTTTGAGCATTAATTGAATTTGCATTTGAACAAATTTTTATAGTAATTTTTGCTCACACAAGTTTACGTAAAATATTTATTAAATAATCAGGTAATTTTTTTCTTTCTTTCCAGAAATAAAAATAGATAAAAGGACATCTTTTGGTGTTATAAACATACAGTTGGTCATGCATAGTAATTATATCGAAATAATTTAACAACACTACTCTTTATTTAAAATTAAGCTTATTAAAACTCAGTTTATTTCAATTCAAAAGTTTTTGTATTTGTTTGATTTGGTTTATGTAGTTGCAAATATTATAAAATTTGTTTTATTGTCAAATTTTGTAACATAGATTGGCTCATATAAAATAGCATATTTAAAGCCTGCCTCTTGAATAATTTAGATTACATTTTGATGTATACCTATCACATATTAGATCAAAAGTAGTTAAGGGTGTTTCTTTTTCCTCTCTTGATGTACAGGCTTTGACCACTGTTAAATCATTGTGAAAAAACTAAGAGAATGCGAAAACAAAGCCTTTTAAATTAAAAGTCTAACATCTAAATGGATAATAAAATTTCTTAGATTGATTTTAAATGAAATTTAAATAACAGGGATTTAATTAGGAAAAATTTGAGCCGATTAACTGGTCTTTTAGAAATTATTTATCCATAAAAAAAGATCTTTCTCAAATTAATTTATAGTAAAGGTAGGCTTTTCTCAATACTATATTTATTTTAAAATTTGACAATTCGTAAAATTCTTTTTTAAAAACAAAGTGAATGGTGTCTTCTACAATTTTTCAATGAGAATTTTTTTTCGCATATCCATAAACATATGAATATTTTTTTCTTCACAATGTTAAAAAACAGGTTTTTTCACAAAATTTTTGCATTGACCATTACATAACATAAGATTTTTGACTTTCTCTTTAGTGATTACCAGCCACAATGTGTTTTTGTTAGTTATTCAAATCTTTTTATGACGTATGTTATTAGTGACTTTAAAAAAGTTACTCTGCTTCAACTTTTTCAAACATATGCTTTAATTCAGATAAATTTTTTCAGCATTTGACTCTGTGCAATCCGTCTAAAGTACTGGTCGATTGTGCTCTGGAAAGATGGAACCAACTTCAAACCAGGGCTGACAATGTTAGTGTGGTTACAGTGATGCTGGATCAAACAAAATCCTCAGAAGATGAAGTACTTAAGGAGCAGCTTATACTTAAAATGAATTATCCTGGTAGTTTGCAGGTTTGGGATGTCGGTCTCCGCTCCAAAGGGTCAGTTTCCGAGTCTTGTGACAGTGCGGAATCTACGGCTAGTGCTGCCACAGCAGAGGAAAGTGCAGACAATAATTTAGAAGGTAACCTTTTAAATTTCATGGACATCGGCTTTTATAGCTTCATTATATATGCATCTTTTAAAGACTTTAATTTATGCAGACCTTATAGTCTAATATAGACCATAATCTAACCATGTTTAAGACACATTCAAGTTTTATCAAATATTAAAACAAAAAAAATTGAACTGAAAAATAGAATAAAAAACAGAAGAAAAAATAATAAAATAATTTAAAAAGTTTATTTGTTTAGAATACATGCTAAGATTTAAAAACTCATTCACTATGTTGCAGACTTACAGTTTCTGATGCTAAATGAATAAAAAGCATTCCTGCAATAGCGTAGGGTAAGGATGCTTAAGAGCAATTTCAAGACCAACATCACGATTGTGGCAATTTGATCAGCCTTAGGCGCAAGCTACCTTTTCTTCTCAAGCAAACTGGTACCCATTGATCTGAAGCAGGTTGAACTTAAAGCTACCAGTGGGAATCATATCTTCATAATCACTACCACTGAGCTCATGTTAAATAAATAAAAAAATATGGCCGTTACACTAAATACTGAAATATTTTTTTAAACAAGAAAAACCAACAGTGTAGCTTTAAATTTAACATATTTACAATAAAATATCGTGTAGAACTATCTACAGCTGGTAATACAAGTTACTGTTTAATAAGCCAATTACTTTTTTTTTTTTTTGAATGATTCTTAGGAAACGGGGGTTTCAAATTGGATTAATGTGCAATCAGAAATAATTTTTCTCCACATGTGAAAAAAAGTACCGGGAAAAGATTCATATTCATTTTAAATCAATTTGTTAATGGGTAACTACTAACTCATTATTTTTGATATATCTCATACACACAATGAGGCAATTTTTTTGTGCTTTGACTCCATACTAAATATACTTAACTTAAAATGCAATGAGTTTCTAGGAGTTACGATCTTCCCTTCCCTCCCTCCCTCGTTGAACAGCTGACCCAATTTTTGGGTTTACGACTACTAATGTTCAACGCCGCATCTTTGTAATTTTAAACCAGTTCAGAAGACAAGGAAATGCCTGGATCAGTATCCCCAGAGGTATTGATTTGTTATGGGAACATGGAGCACTTTGCGGCTCGACAGATTTAATGTGCACCAGTCACCATTTACTACCAGGGATGTCTTCGGCCGGCGGGGATCGAACCCACGAACTCTTGGACATGGGTCCAGTGCCCTACCAACCAGGCTATCGTGGCCTGATCCTATTTTTAGATATTTTTGTTCATTTTTAGAAGAGTTAAGATCACGTTTTTGAGAATTGTGTTTTTAATTCAAATTAATTTGCATGTTCTTTCAGCCTATTTTTAATTCAAAAGAAGCTTTTCCACCAACTTAATGTTAAAATGCTTGTTAATTATTGTTCCTTAGGTGTCTCATCTTTGCCTCAAATTTTAATAGATTCAGACAATGATCAATCATCTCTACCTGATCTTCTAGACGAAACACCGAGCTGTCATAGCAATAGTGAAAGACTAACCAATAGTCCATTGCAGTCTTGTTCTAATTTTCTTCCAGAATACTTCGCAAAAGCATCGAGAAAACTGGATGCTGATGGGATAGAAAATAGTCCATGTGCCATTCCTCGTTGGAGCAAAAATCCTTCTGGGCGTACCAGTCTTTCTACGCTTGTGACGTGGAGCAAGGTCGTTAGTTGCAGGCGTATGAGTGACCCCTTTCCCTATTCAAATTTAGATGTCGGATGTTCTGCAAAGGAAGATGGGGAGTGTTTTTCGGATGAAGAAAACAACGAAAGCTTGAACAGGGATGTGGAATGTTTAGGTTCTGTTCACTGTGAAGAAATGGGGTTTGATAGAGACACTTGTGAAGAAGATATCCCGTGCACTTGTAGTAAAATGTACAGTAGTTCCAGTGCTGTTTTGAATCGTCATAGTTTGAAAGTAACTTTAAATCAGCTAAGTAGCTTAGTTAAGTCTGCTAGTACTTATTCTATCAAAAGGAAATATTCTAGCACTGAAACTTTGCAATCAAGTGTGAGCACAAGTGAGTTAAGTGATGAAGGCAACAGTTCCCAAAAAAGAAGAGCCTGCACAAGATCTTCTATATTTCATCCTACTGAACAACCCGACATTTTAAGCTAAAATATGTAGGAATAGTTAGTTTGGTTTTAAACAGATATTTAATATATATATAATCATTATTTTCTATAATGTGTGATGTGTATGTCAATATTTGTATGTTATGTCTTGGTGATTTTTGTTGTGGGGAACGTATTTTAAAAATGGTGAAATTTTAGCTAAAATTTGTATATCTTATTTGTGTATGAAAACTATGCCAGAGAAACGTGTCCAAAGGTTAAGCTTAAATAATTTCCAGTTATCTCTTTCTACTTAACCCCTTGATTGCTGCGAGTGTTTATATATACGCTTTGCTAAGCCAATGCATTAACTGCCCCTGGCTTATGTATATGCCTTTCTTAAGTACACATTGCTTTTTGCCATGCGCTGCTGTCAGTAAAACTACTCTCACAGCTTTGGAGTGCAATATAATGACCGTGAGAGTGCTTTTAAAGAATTTCAGACAGGAGGAAAAGGGAGATGGGGAAGTTTCTGGAAAGTAAATCACAGCTGTGCGGTTATTGCTTGTGTTTCTTTTGAGTAGTACATGCTTTTTTACTTGCCCTTCTCTTCCATTTTTGTTTCTGTATGTAATAATGGTTTTTATTTTTTGTGCAAACGTGTCTGAGAGTGAATTAGATAACTATTTTTCTTCATCCAGAAACTTTAGAGTGATATTACTTCAGATGAAGAGGACTCTGATTGTGACTAATAGTTATAATTAAATTTTGTATTTTCTTTTTTTTTCTTTCTTGTAAAAGTAAATAGGTATTAGATTGAAAAGCGTGCCTTTTCTTTTTCTCCAATACACATCAAAACTATGCGTGTCTCTTTGGAAACTGGTGTCAATGGGGGAAGGGGGTGAATCTCAAAGCTTTCTCGGCACACCAGGGGTTAAAGCACAAATAGATGAAAACTATTATTTATATTAACTAAGCATTCAATTTTATAACAAAATAGTAAGTAAGATGAGCATAAACTATTAGACATGTGAGTGTAATTTGATTTGTACCACAGTAAACAGAGTCGTTAATTATTTTCAAAATAGAAAACAAAATAAATCATAAGGCTCTTTTCTATCAAAAGCAACCTTATTCATCCCTTTCTCAAGTCAATAACTTGGAAGGAAATCAAGTTAGTTTTTTAGAAACATTTTAAATAGTTGGAAATAAATAATAAAGTAAAAGTTTATATCAAATGTAAAATTTTTAATGAGGTAAATATAGTTTTATCTCATGTTAGAATTGATGAGATATTTGTTAAAAACTTTGTAAAATGTCCCTCGATAATTGCTATTATATAAAATTGTCTTCATTTAGCTGTTTTTGTATTTTTTTCTTCTTAAGTTCACTTTTCTGACTTATATTGAGAAAATGTATTTATTTTTACTATTTTATGACTTATTGTTTCGTGTCTTGAAATTTTTTTATTTTATTAAATGCATTGAATTTAATACTATCTTCAAGTGATAGACTAGTTATTTATGAATTTTTGTAGATATAGTTTGTTTTTGTATCATTTTCAGTTTTTTATAAATTGTATGGATGTAAATGCGTCGTGCAATTTAGAAATCAGCTTATTCACAATGTGTGTTTTTGTTTGTAGGAAAGAAATTCTTTTCGATCTCCATAGCTCCTATTAGAAAATACTGAATACTTCATGTTCATTTTCCAATATTTATATATCATATTTTTTAATCTCATAGCACATCATTAATTTTTAACATTAAATTTAAATTAGTTGTTGAATAATTAGTTATTCATTCAATTTAGATTTTTTTTATGGATTAACATTTCAACATACGAGAAGTTTATTTTATAATAGATTTTGAAGAGAATCTTCTTTCGCGCATTATTTTCTACTATCGTAATAAGTAATTATATGATAAAGAAATTAGCTAGATAAAAAGTTATTAAGGATAACTCAGTGCTGGACTATTATGTTTTTAGTAAAAATGTTAAAGCCAAATTATTTATATTTATTTTACCAATAAATGGTTTAATTACTTATAGTAAACAAATTCTTTAAGTCTAAGCAAATTTTCTATAAAATAAGTGCATGGCTTGTATTGATTGAATATTACTTATTAGTGAAATCATATATATAATGAACTTTATTTTATCATTGAATAGATATAACAATTATCCTGAATTTGAATTCCAGGTACATACTTTTTATTTAATTTGGGCAATAAAGTTTAATAAAAGAATAAACTAATCTTTGTTTCGAACGCACTCAACTTCTAGGCTTAATATATTGCAGAAGGCTGTGTGATACTCCTATCCATTTTGAAGTTAATTCTTCTAAGACTCACAAAAATATCAACAGGTTAATTTATTATGCTCTTCAATTATTAGGGAGGTTATAATTAAACCAGCGTTTTCATAAGGCTGTAAAATAATAACCCTGTCGGAATGACCGGATATTTCATCTGAGTATACACAAGGGCAATATGTTTTACAAAAGAAAAAGGTTAAAAAGTTTACCAATAGAGGGTGCTCTACTTATCGTATGATATAAAAACTATTCCTTTAAAAGAAACAAGAGTTTCAAAATTCTTATTGAAAGACATGACATGTTCACTACACATTGTAGTTCATTCACCAAGAGTTGAAACTTGGCTCCATCTCCTTGGATGCAGAGTTGATTTCAGTGGAGGAGAAGCATCTCCACGCTTGAAAATGAGAACCCTTAATGCAAACAGTGAATTTTTTTTCCAGTTAATTACTTTGCTTTATCATGTGCTATTATACCTTTCGTTACTCTAGTTATTTAAATATATTTTAAAACTACTGTTTTCCCTACAAAATGTCTCAAAAAGGACAAACTATTCCTAGAGAAATATCATCAAAATTATGAAATATTTAATGTTAAAAAAGTGCACATATTCAAAAAAATTATTTTTGTCATACGATTGCCAACTGTCTACCTTGTCCAGGATTGTTCACACCTTTCTCCCAAAAATAGCGAAATAGCCAAGTGCCAACTCCACGTGAATGAACTATACATTTGTGATAAAAAGCAAGAAACCGTTCTTGCAGAATAACTCCTCACGCATAACACATACCTGCCAAGTCTCCTGTTCACCTGCATATTCTCAAATTTTTCCATATTTGTTGGGGAAAAAAATTGGCAATAAAATATCCGCTAATGGCAAAAATACTTTTGTTATTTCTCAACAGATGGTGCTATTGCCAGTACCACAGTATGTTGAGTGTTAATAGTTTAAGTAATTTTAAATAGTTTAAAAAACTCTTCAGATTAAGATTTATAGAAATATTTTTTAATGTACGTGCTTATATTATTTCCAATTCTGAATTTCTTTCTTTGACTTGCATGATGTATCAAAACTTTTTCTGTTGTCCAAAAAACGTTAGTAAAAACACTTTATTTCTCCAATGTTGGCAGGTATGAGAGCCATGACTACGTTTTCAGATGCAGAACTGCATGTTCCCTGCCTCCCCTTTTTTTATCACAAGTATAATGCAGATTGCTCATGTTGCATCTTTAAATTAGTAATCTTGTAAAACAAAAGTTTTTAGAAATTTTTCATGACACAAACATTTATCAGTTAACTTATTTTTTCTTTTACATTGAGATAAATAATAAATCCAATTGCTTTCAAATTAATTGGTGAAATAACATCTGTTTGACCAATGGTATTTTTTTCAAGCCTTTTTTCAATTATCTATATCAAATTAATCCACCCTGTTTTAACGAATTTAAAGTTTAGAATTAAAGTTCACTTTTACCAAACATACTAAGGCACATATCTGTGATATTATGTATATAATCATGGTGTATGTTCAATTTATTGCAACCTTATTTTTTATTCTAGTCATGTATGTCAGTGTAAAATAACCATATTGCATTTTAAACCTTTGCTCTTTATGCCAAGTCACTAACACCAGTCTGTTTTTTTTCTCTAGATAACTCATTAATATTTTCTTGCAACTGTTGAATATTAGACAAAAAAAAAATGTGTAATGTTGCCAGTATTAGAGAAGTGCAAAGGTTACAATTCATTGTGTCTTGTCTGTAATTTTAAATAAATTTATTCAATTTTTGTTTTGATTATTATTTTCCATCACAGTCCATCTTAACGAAATACTGAGCTTTTAACTCTTTCGTGCTCGTGTAGAAGTATTAGGGATTAAAAATTAATTGCATGAAGACTGGAAGAATTTTAAATGGCATTGGGGGAAAAAAAATTGAGATTTCTTGGAAGGAAATCTTAAACCTTTTGTCTTTTGAGCTACCAATTTTCTATTGTATAGCAATGAAATCCGACCGCAAAGGGTTAGTTGCAAAATATAAGCTAATTTTGTTAGGCCCTTAAAATTCGCAGGTTTTAATAGATGCGTGTACTTAGGTACAACCCTTGAGTGTCTTCTCAAGAGTGGAAAAAATTTCTCAGTGAATTAGCAACAAGAAGTAGCAATAACCTTAGAAACCTCTCTTTTGAAAGTAAATTTAACACAACGCATTTGCCCGTGTCAGACATTCCCTTCTCTCACATAGCCAATCTTGCATCTCACATTTTATTTCTAATGCCTGTCTAGAAAAGCTTGTTTAGCCATTTTTTTTAGGTCCGTTCTAGAAAAATGGCTAAACGAGATTATAATTAGGGATGTAACAAATAGTGATTTGGCTGAATATGTCAAAAAAAAAAAAAATCGGCTGAATACTGAATAGAAGCAATTTTTTAAAAAGCAATGGGGAAAAATGACCGGTGGTTTATTTAAGTCTCCACTGCTTTTTTGTTGACTCGCCACATGGTGTTTATTTTCAGGTCTACATGAACTTTTTTCTATAGTTTAAATTACTAATGTAGATTTACCGGAATTGGCCTTGAAGAGTTTTCTCCCGCAATATAACGTCATCTTAAGAAAACTGCTAGTAAAAACAAGGTTCAAGGTATTGTGCATCCAAGTTTGTGTCACAATTAAATTGAATGTGAAGGTCTATTAGTTATGTAATTTTATACGAGAATATTATAATAAATTATTTATTATGCCACAAGAAGTTCATTTAGTTTGATGCAAGAAAAATCAATAACACTTTTTACCTAAAATGTGAGAGGCTTTGAAATCAACTATTAAAGTTGTATGCTTCTATAAATCAGAATGCTAAAAGTTAAAAAAAAAAAAAGCAGAAAATGACTGCCTTAAAAAAAACAAAAAAAACTCATTTTTACTGGAACTAGAACTTTTTGATCTGATATAATATTCTTTATATAAAGTATTGATGTTAATAGTAAATTAAAAAAAACTTTTGAAATATGTAATTTAATCTGAATTTTTGTAAATGAATAAATTTTTTTTCCATGCCAATCAGACTGTAGTGGTTAGATAGCTGATCTCACATCAGAAAGATCCTGGGTTTGAATCCCAGACAAGGCACGGATTTTCTGAACTATCTGTTCTTACTGTGGGAGCAACATTAGCCCACCTAATATGGTGCCCCTAAAAGAGTTGCCAACAAATCTGCCCTACTGACACCTGAATGACTATTGTTAATCTGGTGGGCATTGGGGGGGGGGGGGATTTCCAAATAATAACAATATTGAAAAGAAATTACTCAAATTTTTACTTCCAATGAAAATGTATTATTTACCTAACTTTTCTTTTGTTTAAAAGAATTATTTTCAGTACTTCTTCCTCTAGCAAGAAAGCAATATCTAAGTGAATGAAAAAAATTGCAATGTTACTTCTGTGTTAAATAATGTGACCATGAAAAAAACATTATTCTTTTTAGTTAAAGTAGTTCTGAAATATTTCATTTGTTAAAATTATTTGATAGAACATGATCAAGACTATCACTTATATCAGCACAAAAGTGTTACCATTAGTTAAGTTCAAAATTCTATTTCTTTTTGAATAAAAAAAGAGTCAATGTTTCAAAAGAAAAATGTATATAAAATGTGCAGTTTAATATACAGGGTATTCAAAAGCTATAAAATTTTTTTATAATGTTTTGCGATTATAGTATGAACCAAATATGTGTGGATTAAAATGAAAAAACTGAAAGTTTAATTGTGTTACAATTGCAATAAAAAAAAATCCGGGTTCTTTAATAAAATTTTTTTTGGTTGCCCCTTCCTCCTGGAGAAGAGAGCTTGAGTATGGTATCATTGAATAATTAAAAAATTAGACTTTAATATTGCTGCTTTTTGATTCAATGCATATTTTTCTTGATATTTGACTGTTTGCATACATTCTACTTTATGTTTGACTGTTTACATAATGTTTTCACGTAACAGCAACATATTTCTGAAACTGATAATCTTTTTTAAAAAAAGCGCAAAATTTTTTAAAATTTATATTTTCCAGGACCGAGAAAGGAAATACTTAGCCTACCTTAGAATACCTAGCAAATTAGCATGAGGTTACAAACTACTTTTTTATCTAACAAGGGAAACTAGGGAAGTGTGACTCACCAATTTTGAAATAAACTAGTGGAATGTATGCCTTATGAGAAATAATTTTAGGGGGCAACATTTGTTTCGGCCCATAGAAGGTCTTATGAGAGATAAAAAATAATTCAATATATAGAAAAATCGGTATTTTATTACTTCAATGCAGATTATTAGTTATTGTAATTGTCTCATACTCCAATTAATGTGTAATTAATTGGATAATTAATTAATTTGCAAATTAATAAATGAATTTGACGCCCGGTGGCTGAGCGGTAGCGCTTCGCGCTGTCGTGCCACAGGTCCTTGGTTCGATCCTTGGGCCGGGCAAGGCCGACTCAGCCTTTCATCCCTTCAGTGGGTCGATAAAATGAGTACCAAGCATGCTTGGGAACTAACACTGGGGGTTCCGCGTTCGGCTGACCACCTGACCGGAACATATGCTCCTGCACCCCAGAGCCCAAGGTCAAGAAAACTGAGATGGGCACAGTCGGCCTTGGCCCTCTTAATGGGCTGTCGCGCCACTGAGTTAATAAATGAATTTACATTCGTTTCGGCCCATAGAAAGTCCTGCGAGAGAAAAAATAATTCAATATATGGAAAAATCGGTATTTTATTACTTCAATGCAGACTATTAGTTATTGTAATTGTCTCATAATCCAATTAATTTGTAATTAATTAATTTTCTAATTAATAAATCAATCATAAAATTAAATATTAATTGATTTACAATTACATACTTCAATTAATTTGGAAAGTTTTTAGAAAAAAATTTAAAAAGATTTGATGTCAATTTTTTTTAAAAATTAACCTAACAGGTTTTTCTGAAAATCTACAGATATATAAAATTTTCAAAATCAATTTCGACAATAAATATGCATTATACAGTACGGGAAAGTATTAACAAAATTAATTGGAGTATGAGACAATTACAATAACTAATAGTCTGCATTGAAGTAATAAAATACCGATTTTTTAATATATTGAACTATTTTTTTATCTCTCACAGGACCTTCTATGGGCCGAAACGAATGTTTCCCCCTAAAATTATTCCTCATAAGGCATACATCCCACTAGTTTATTTCAAAATTGGCGAGTCACACTTCCCTAGTTTCCCTTGTAAGTATGAAATTCTTAAGTTAGGCTACGAGTTTAGCAACTTTGTGCAAAGTGGTCAAGCTAAGAAAAATTACAAAATTATAACAAGTTTATTTATTAGCTTTTACAAATTATACAGAATAATTCTTAAAATCATATTTCATTTATGTTATTATTAAATAATAAAAAAGGCATTAAAACATAAACAATGCAGTAAGTAATTTCAATCATCAATTATAATTTTAGAAATGAAAAAGCATTAGGATAATATTAATTTACATCACTATTTAAATCAATGAGTGATAATGCATGTTATCAATACATAAATAGGTAACGACCATGAGAAGTACACTAACAATGATGAACAAATTATTGATTGCAATAAGTAAACATATTTCACAACTAACTAAATTTAAAGCAACATATCTTACATTTTCTGTCGCATGAAGAATTTTTTAAAAATCGAAATGTAACAAGATATTTATAAAAAACTATTGTCCAGGTCCTGATAGGCTTTTATCCATAAATTTTCTTTTAGTAAAACACAGCCACCACTGAAAAGAGAACAGTTTATATATGTAATAATAAGNAGTATTATACCCTTGTCATGTCAAAAACCACTTTTTGACGTCAAAAACCCAACCCTGGTAATAATACACTATGTTTTTACACACGATTTAAAATAATTTCTGGGATTATTTGCAGAATTAAGAGGCACAATAACCACATACAAGAGATCTCTGCAGATAAACTCAAAATATTTTGAAGTCATTTCTTCATATATATATTATTTTTAATTATTTTGGCCTAAATCAATACAAAAAAATGAGAAAAAAACTATGATTAATAAAAATTTTGCATCAAAGGGTAGAGTAATTTTTCCCTGTTAGTGCATATTTCGTTTTTAAAAATTTTTCCATATAAATATAGAATTATAGTAATTATGATTTTGTTTACATAAATATTATTTAATTCCATATTTCTTATTATGCATATTTTAATTTTAATAATAATTATTTTAATTGATAATTGAATTGATAATTTAATAATTATCAATTCAATTAAAAAAATTAACAACTTTAGTTTTCTGAATTAACATGGCCGTCTACTAAGTGCACATCTCTTTAAAGACTTGTTTTTTTCGGTTTTGAGGGAGTCTGCTTTAGCAAGTTTGCTTTTCACTGTAATATTTAAAAATAGTTTTAAGCTTCATTAAAAAGTTTAAATTATGCTATAAGAATAATTCAGCTATTCTTTTACAAAATTCCAGTCAGTCAGCTGTATTGCATTATGAAAAAAATATAATTGCATCACGGTTTTTTTAGATATTTGCGGTGGAAATTGGCATATTTGTTATTAAGTTAATATTAGTAAAAGACAATTAGTTTTTTTGATTATGATAGGTGTTCCTTTTGAATTTTAAAAAGCAGTAAATTATTAAAAAAAATATATATTAAATACCTTGCTTGGTTTTCCACTTTCAGGGTCAAAAACTTTTTCACAAAGTCTAGCTCCACACTCTTGTCGAAGCTGTACAAGATACTGTCGCATTAAATCTATCAAAAAATACAAACTTATTGACATAAAATTTTTTTTTAAATTAAAATTACAATTTTATAAAAAAGTTTAGAAAAAAATATTAAAAGAAAGCATATACTGTATTTTTATATAAATGTCAGAAAAAACAATTTGACCTTGAATGTTTGAATTAGCAATTTGAATATGAATAAAAAATTAAGTTTTTTAAGTTGCTGACATGTGCGTTTAACAATAACTAACTCTTTTTAATAATAAGATTTGATTAATAATTATTGAATGTAATTTTTAACTTCTCTGAAAACGGAACAATATTTTAATATTAGCACAAGAATAGATTTTTAAAATATGTTTTTGCATTATATTTTTAAAAATAATTTATTAATGATAAGGAGAAAATACACAACTCTGTGTTTCTTTTTAGATTAAAAAAAAAGAAACTAAAATATTTTTTATTTTTAAAAGTATATTAATTCGCAAAGTAAATAAGACTGGTATGTACACCTTATGTAAACCAAATAATATAAATAAAATTTAATTATTTCAGACTGATATTAAGCATGCAAGCTAAAATTTATCTAAATGACCAAAAAAAAACTACTAGACTTTAAATTTTTTGAATATTTAAATGAAATTTTAATTTCACATACATTAAAAAAAAATGTTCTTTTCATACCTGCCTCACTTGATGAAGATGGCTTAGCATATACAGCATTTAAAGGAAAACCAGATTCACCTGGAATATCAAATTTAGCAATTGCTAAACTGTACATTTCTTGAGAGCCTTGACCTTTATTAGAACACTATAACACAAATGATAAATATACATATATTATTTAGATTTACTTTATTATTAATACATATTACAAATGAAACTGATGGATGCGTTTTTGGAATAGGTAAGTGTTTTTAAATAAGGTTAAAAATAAGTTACTGTCATCAGCATTTCCTAAACTTTAGAAACTATGAGTCCTTAAAAGACTCAGGATATCCAAATTCTCCTTTTACTAGAAGCAAGTTATCCCTAATTAAAATATGAATTCTTCATCTTTTAATTTATTAATATGCACATTCATAATTATTATTTTACACATGTGATTGCAGACAGAAGAAATTATCTGAAGCTATTTTTTTCTCAACGTATAGTTTTTTTAAAAAAGATCTTAATTTTTTTTCTTCCTCAGATGATAAATAAAACTCATTTTTATGCATAAAATTAATATTTATAAAATTTAAAGAAAGAAAAAAAAAATTCTAACAAACTTTTGCTCATATCGACATATAAAAGAATATATATAAAGTGAAAAAAAATACCAATTTCCCACTTTGCAAGTCGTCAACACCTCAAGATAATTTTTTTATATTAAAAACTGTGAAATTTACTGTAATAATTAAGGAAAGATTGATAAAACTACGTGTACTTTTAACAAAATCTCTTGAATTGGTGATTTCAAAAAGGGGTTAAATAAATTAATGTTTCAAGATTTCAAGTATTGTAATAATGTATTAAAAATTTTGACAAATATGCAAAAATCAAATCAGTCATGATAATGGCTGAAAAATCTATTGAAATAAAAAAGATAGAATTATCACATCCAATTGTGAATACTCAGGTGCACCAGTTGAATTTTCCGCTTATCATAATAATATCGAGATTTTAAAAAATCATGAGCAATAACCGCATAAAAAACAATTGGGTATAATATGAAAAATAGAGCAGACTGAGCGCGTCAAAAAGTAATTACTCGAATGTGCTATTAGAATTTCTAGTTTCTTAATATTGTATGAAAACACTGGGATTCATAAAACCGTGTGGAAATCAGTCTCAATAACTGGGAAAAAGTCTACTGAAAAAACAGTTGTATCACCATGTCAAAAACAGACTAATAAATGCACATATTGAATTTTGCTTGTCGTAATAAAAGTCAGCCAAATAAAAAAGGGGTAATTGTAGCCAAATAAAAATTGGAATTAATATATCCCATTGATTAAATAATATTTCTGTTACAAATAGAAGTTGGCTACTAAAATGCTACTCGTTAAAATATAAGTTAGCAATTTTTTAGCTAACGATATTTTAAATGTTTGCCATTTCAAAATCTAGATAATAAATTTTATACTTTTGTATTTGCCCTAGTAGCTCATTAATTTTAGCCTAAGTTATAATGGAATTTTTTTTCAGTCTCGTGTTCTCGAAGTTATGTTTTTCACTTACAAATCTGCGTAAAAACAGTCATTATCGTGCGAGAATGAGAACTTCAAGAGAAAAATGGAGATTACAGTTAAGGGTCGTTAATTAAGAATACACGTCTCATTAACAAGATCTTGCATATGTAACAAAAATTACATTTTAGATCAGGGGAACTATAGGAGAATTCAGTTTGAATAAAAATTATCGATTCAGTGAAGTCAATGAATGGTCTTGAGATCGGCAGAAATTTACGAATTAGTAGAAGACATTGTTGTTGTTGTTGATTTACGTCACACTAGAGCTGCACAATGGGCTATTTGCGACGGTTTGGGAAGCATCCCTGAGGATGATCCGAAGACATACCATCAAAATTTTGATCCTCTGCAGAGGGGATGGCACCCCCGCTTTGGTAGCCCGACGACCTGTACGCGAAGTCGAGCACTTTACGGTAGCACAGTTTAACGAGGACCAATACCGCACACCCTCGGTCCCTACGCAGACTGATCCAAGTGGGTCACCCACCCGCACACTGACCGCAGCCAGTGATGCTTGACTTCGGTGATCTGATGAGAACCGTGTCTTAACGATCAGTCCACTGTGGGACGAAATAGTAGAAGAAGAATCACATGCCTGATACTAGTGATAGATAAAAGTACTGATACTAGTCATAGTTATTTTTTTCCTCAACTATTCATGAAAAAGAAATAGAATTTTATATATACGTATATAAACATATTTAAAGTTCAGTTATAATTTTGTCTGCATAAATATAACAGCGTGCTGTTTTTTCCCTTCCGTGCAGGATATTTGCGTGTTCTAAAAACGAATCATAACTTATTTTTCACTTCCCTTTTATGCTTACTAATTTAATTTACAGGCTATAGTATAATAACTGGTTAGATGTGAGATACTGAGTTGTTAAGCTAAGATCTGTATTGCTAACCTCATTTACCTGGTTTGATAAATGCCCAAAGAAAAATATTTTATGTTATTGCATAGCTGCCATAGGAAAAAAACCAGTAGATTTTACGAAATATAAATTTCATGATGATTGTTGCATAATGTTCTAAATATTTAANCATTCTAGTTTAACAGCTGTAATGGAGGAAATTTTGATGCAAGCAAAGTATAGCTAAATTGATGTTACTTCAACTGTTTGGCGATACATTTCCGTTAAAAAAAGTGGATATGATGGATGAAATAATTTAAATTAAGAAAATTAGTAAATAATTTAAAAAAGTGAAATTAAAAAAATTATCAAAGAAAAAATTTCCATCTTTTCTTTAAAATTCCCTGATTTTTCCAGGTTTTTATCCAAATTTCCCTGATATTTCCAGGTTTTTTCCAGTGTAAAAAAATTCCCTGATAATTCCAGGTTTTCAAGGTTTTCCAGGTGGGTGGCCACCCTGAAGATCATGCATATGTAACAAAAATTACATTTTAGATCAGCGGAACTATAGGAGAATTCTGTTTGAATAAAAATTATCGATTCAGTGAAGTCCATGAATGGTCCTGAGATCGGCAGAAATTTACGAATTAGTAGAAGAATCACATGCCTATACTAGTGATAGATAAAAGTACTCAGAATTATTTTTTCCCTCAACTATTAATGAAAAAGAATTTTATATATACATATATAAACATATTTAAAGTTCAGTTATAATTTTGTCTGCTTAAATATACCAGCATGCTGTTTTTTTTCGTGCAGGATATTTGCATGTTCTAGAGAACGAATCATAACTTATTTTTCGCTTCCCTTTTATGATTACAAATTTAATTGACAGGCTATAGTATAATAACTGGTCAGATGTGAGATACTGAGTTCTTAAGCTAAGATCTGTATTGCTAACTTCATTTACCTGGTTTGATAAATGCCTAAAGAAAAATATTTTATGTTATTGCATAGCTGCCATAGGAAAAAAACCAGTAGATTTTACGAAATATAAATTTCATGATGATTGTTGCATAATGTTCTAAATATTTAACACATAGGGAATTTTATAGTCATCAAAATAGAAGAATTGCAATATTTTCCAGTTAGGATTGACATTAAACATTCTTGAAATGTTACGTATTATGTATACTCATAATTTTGAATATTAAGAGGCATTTAATTAATCAAAGATAGATAACTTTTTTAAAAATAAATTTAAAAAGAGAGCTCTGAATAATAATTAAAAAAAAAACGGAACATTTTATAACAAAAAAAGTATTGAACTGATTTCTATAAATAAGGTTCGCTTCATTATGTATCAGTAAAACTTATGTAAATATTCAAGCAAGCAAGCAATAATCTGAAGAAAAAAAATTATACTTCAATTAGTTTTTTTTTATGAAACTTACTAAATTTCAGGGAATACTGTAAAATGTACAAAAGCCAGGAGAATTTCAACTAAACCAGTAGATCAAGAGAAACTGGAAAAATCCAGTAGTTTACTGGAAGATCCAGTGGAGTTGGCAGCTATGTAATTGCCAAAAAAAAAGTTTTTTTTTGAGATTTATTTTTGAAACTCACTTTCAATTTCACTAAAAGGCACATATATGACTTTCTTAGTAAAAAATTCTTCTAATACAAAATGTTAAATTCACATAGAAGGTATTTTCTTTGTGTAACTTTAATTTAACATATCACTGGAAAAATCAATGCTTTGATGAAATTTATGCACTTCTTTTTCTTATCTGCATGGCAACAATGAAGCATTTGTATTTTAAAAAATAAAATATATATATANAAATTTTTTAAAATTTTACTCTACTAAAGTATTTATCACAATCATGGAGCAAACTAAAAAAGTACATAGTAAAATTGGTATAGAAACTTTTGGAAATTCAAAACAAAACTGTTTATTAAAAAAAGTAAAAATGTACTGGACACAACACAATTAATAACTCTTAGAATATTAATAACTATTAGAATCAAGTTATTAAAAAGTCAATTAAAAACTCACTCTTTGAAGCCTTTTTAAACATTCTGTAATATACAAAGTCAAGTATATTAGAACACGATCAGCTTCACTCTAAAATAAAATAAAAATTACTATTAATGAAAGTAAATTACTGGACATTATTTGAAATAGTATAAAATCATACAAAAATTAAATATATGCAAAATATAAAATTAAATATAAGTAAGGAAAAAAAATTAAAAAACGAGTTACAAAAGAAATTTTCTAGTTGCAAGTTAAGCTTTACAGAACATACTAAAAAATGAAATTAAGCCAACACAGTTGATTTTATCACAGTTATAACAAATTATAAGTTTTATAAAACACAATAATTGCAAAAGATATTTATCAAATAATAAGCTATTGGAATTGAATTGCAAATAATTTATTGGGTGTAAAATTGCCTCAAATAAACATATTCTTTACAGAAATCTCTTCTGATTAGATAGAACAATCTAAGTGAATGAGTAAAAAATAGAGCTTAAAATATGTTAAATTTTGTCAAGCCCAATGTAAAATTTCCAGGAAATGTTTTTTAAGTTTCATTTTTTTCCTTGCATACTTTCTTAAAGCACTAAACTCTCCTTAAGGATGATTTTTTAAGGTTTCTTGTGAGTCATGAAATAAAATTAATTTTCATACATTCCTTTGTAAGAAATATGAAATTTCTGAAATACTAAAAACATCTCATAGTTATTTTCAATACAGGTTTTTATAAATTATAATTTCATTATACTTTTATAAAACCATCAGAAGCAAACAAAAATCAAAGATTTTTTTTTTTTTTAATTTAATGAAATCATTAAATAATTACAAAAAGAAAGTAAAACGTTTTAAAATGAGAAAATTACAATAGGATATTTTTCTTATATATTAAAGACTTCTATATTCAACTTTAAATTCTGATATTTATATTTTTTTGCCATTTGTTTATATATTTACCCCAACGAAATCATTTTACACAAAATTTGCAAAACCAGTTTCACCTAAATAAACCTATTGAGCAGTAGAAATCTCATTATGCTTCATTTAGCAAGATAAATGTAACCTTTCAGGTAGTGTAAATGTGATATTATAAGGGTGGTGTCCACAAAATTTAAAACAAAAACCAAAGAAATGATTTTTTCCTATTAATTATGAATTATCAACATTGCTTCAGTAAAACAAAATGCAATAACTATATTTTTTTTATTAATTATGTATTTGATTCGGATTATGTAAAGTCTGTAAGAGTAATACACATTTATCAAAGCATTAAATAACATTTTAAACATATTTTACTGAAACGTCTGGTTATTTGCTGCATCACTATTAAATATATTTTCTAGAACAGAAAGAAATTTTGTTTCTAGCATGTAAAATTTTAATTAAGAACTAATAATGAAAAACAGAAGTTACAATCATTATTTAATCAAAAGATTCTAAACATTTTAATTATTTGTCATTACTTTTTTCATTACTTTTAAATGATGCTTTAAGTTTAAGGGATGGCAAAATTTCTTTTTCTTCTTACATTTTATTTTAAATGCAAAAAGAATGAAAAATTTATAATATAAAAAGTTTTGAAAATCATAAGTTGTTTGAAAGTTTCAGAATGCTAAGTAAACAGTTATAAAAACAATTAAAAAACATATTTAATTTTGGCTGCTATTTTTGACTAACATAATTTTAAAAGGTTCACTTATTTAAATTATAATGGCAGGAATATAAGTTTGCGAATATTTCCATTCCATATTAGCACCTGTTCATACCAACTACAATAGTCAAGGCGCCGGCCAGGTGGCCGAGCGGTTAGCGTGCCTGACTGCAAAGCCATAGGCTGCGGGTTCGAATCCCGCTCTGTTCATGGATGTTTCTCTCTCTCTTTGTGCTGTCCTCTGTTGTGTGTGTGTATATGTGAATGTGGCCCACCCTATAAACGGGTTTGTGGCAGTGTGGCGTGGGCAATGTTGCTCGCCTCCGTGACTTTGGTTCACAGGTGCCCACTGGGTAACGCGAAATGAGCAACAATTCTGGCATAGTATAGGCAAAGATTCCAATTCAGTGCCTGCCATTGGGAAAGAAAAAAAAAAACAATTGTCAAGGCACCAAAAGGATTTTGTACTAAAAAATTAGGTTTGTCAAAGGATGACTACAAGTTTTACCCTTCAAATTAGTGAGATCTGTGATATTTTTTTTTAGTTTCTCGCAGGTCATTGCTCAGAATTCTTATAAAATACCAGTACGGAAATCTTCCCATAAGTTTTTTTAATAAATGCATGAAATAAAACATACCTTAATTTCATAGGTTCTGAAGAAAACATTAGCCTTGAAAAAATAAATTGCTTCATCGATTATATCTTCTTGATCAGATTCTATATGTAATGCATAGAAAGAAAAAAAAAATCAAAATTTAATAAAAATATAGACAAATATTCTATATAATACAGCAACTATGATATAGAACTTGAAATTTATTTACATTATATCAGTATATTGAAGAGTATTTTAGTTTCACAGACTTGAATAGGTAAATAGTTATCAACATTTAATTTTACCTATTCAATTTAATAGATAGAATTGGTAACCTGCAATTTAGACCAATTTATGATAAACATTTAATAACCAAAAATAAATGATTAAAATTGATATAACACTTGAAAAACAACTTTAAAAGGTAATTCTTTGAAAACTTACAATTAGTTAACTCATACCACTGTTTTCTCTCGGCAGAGAATCAACATTATAAGACATGTTTTCGAATCATCCTCAGAGAGTCAATAGCCCATTGTGAAGCTAGGGTGCGACGTTAACAAAGTTACTGCTATCTTTAAAAGATTGATATGCACTATTAGCTTTTAAGATTTAATTTTGCTGCCATACATGCTACACGAATTTTTTTTTGTACCTAGAGACTTAAATATTGTAGGTTTTCAAACAAGTCCTTTTTTAGTACATAAAACAAAAGCAATGATTACTATCTCTAGTTTCATACACAAGAAAACAAACACTAGAAGTATAACATTAGCAATTATTGTAACTAATAGTTTAAAACACCAAATAATGTTATGTTTGATATGTACCTCCTCGTGGGGCTGGACCCCTAAATTGCGTTTTAATGGGTAATAAAGCCATATTCCCAACTAAATTTGCAGACTTAAGTTGAGAATGATACGCCTAGAAATGAAATAAAAGAAAATATATAACAATTGTGTTTTTATACGATACAAGCTGGTATAAAGATCAAAATTGGATAATAATTCATGAATTAAAATATTCATACCGGCATTTTGAAGTATTTTTCGAAGCTCTAATGAATTGTTTGTATAACTATAGAACTTCAAAATTTTGTCTTCTGCCTGTTCTGCCCCGGAAAACGGAAACTTACAAAATATTGCCAATTTAAAGCAACCTAATAAGAAAATTAATCGAAGTTGCCAATAGATAAAACTCATGTGACGTAAAATGCTAACAAGAACTTAGAACTTCATTCGCTATTGCCATCTAGGGAGAAGACCGGTTCCATGGCTTGATTCTTTTCTCTCTTCTCTTCTTCTCAGTTGTACGGGAATGTACAACTGAGAAGAAAAGAGAGTTTATATTTTCCCCTTTCTATATATAATATCCCCTTTCTATATATATAAGGAGAGAGTCTATATTACAAAATATTATGAAAGGGGGAAATCCTTTCATAATATTTTTTGTAATTAATTATCACAAATATTTTTTAAAATTTCCACGACGCTTTATTTTGGAACTATGTTCAATGTAGTTTTAAGTCCCATATAGTTTCCTAATTTAAATGTTTTTAATCTTTTTGAAGATCAAGACAGAAACTAACATATTTCCTTCTCCTATGATTCTCCACACCCTATTGGTAAAATTATGTGAAGTGTTGCTTAAGTAGAGAGTTTGCCTCCTGCTCCACGCCACCTGCAGCCCATTTCGATCGCCAATTTATATTCAATCTAAGGTAATCTAATGACTATTAATGAACATTTCGTTTTCATATAATACTTTACGCGATTTTTATAGATAAAATTTGAAATATTCTATATTGAAAATTGAATCATAGAAATTTCAAAGTTAATTAACCAATATTGATGTAGTGTTTTGAAAAAAAAAAGCTCCGATTAAAATATAATTAATTTATTCAATGCTTTCTTCTCTTAAGGTTCAAGCAAAAATTATTTTCATATAAAATTAAAATAATAAAGTTTTTTTATTTTTTAAGGATCGAAAATTTAACATTCAAATCTCGGTAATCATAATCTACAAGTAACTGTAAAAATACCATATTACAAGCAATCACCCCAAAAATGTATTTATCCCTATGTCAACATTGTGTCTGATTTTTTTTTTGTTGTCACCAAAAGGATACAGGTACAAACCTTATTTTAATAGGGCAAAAGATTTGCGATTTCGAGCATTTCATCCTTATAGGATAAATAAAAAATTTTCGAAGCTTTCTTTCAAATTTTTTCCAAACATTATTACTTAGATTAAAAAATAAGCAACTGTTTATGGGTTTTTTGATGGTTATCGTGATAAGATTCACAGAAATGCGAAGCAAGTTCTTTTTTAAAGGAAAAGAAAAATATGGTAAAAGCAATCTTTTTCCACAAAAACTTTTAAAAAAATTGTGAGCATTATTCGAAAACCTAATTCTAGGGAAAGCAAATAAGCGAATCATGTTTTGGGATTGTTTTCTAAAGTCCTGCGAAAGTACTGTACTTGGAAATCTTCTTTTAGGATCTTCACATATTCACCAATTAGATTAAAAAAGAATGGGAAATATTCCTTGCCGACAAGCTTTTCATTCTGGACACAGCTCAAAATGCGTGTTGAAAAAATAAACACAGCCCAAAATTCGGTGTTAAGAAAACGAACACAACTCAAAATACGTGATTAAGAAATAGGAAACAGCTAAAAAGAGTGTTAAAAAAGTAACAGCTCAAAATGCGTGTGCACGCATTAAGAAAATGTATATAGCATTTGATTCAGTTTTAGAAACTTCTCTAATGAAAATTGTTCTTTTTCTAAACGATAAATTAATGAATCCAAATAAGTTCGTAATATAAAATCCTCCGTTTTCCTAAACCACCCAGTAAATTTTTTTTTTTTGAAAAATATGGTAATTTATGGTAATATGGAACATTTTTGTTTGGGAGAGCAGTCTAAAATTTGGACCCGTTAATTTTAATTTTTTCGTATTTATATCTCGAGAATTTTTCAATTTATTTTTGCACAGAATTATAAAATTTGTTTATCCAATGACTGTTACTTGCAAAAAACAGTTTTTAATAATTGTTTAGTGTTAATTTATCTAGTAATAGTCGAAAAAATTTGAATTGTAAGGTATTTTTAGAGGATTTTTATATTATTTTAAAGAATGTAATCTTTCTTATGCGTCAAAATACACAATTGGAACGAGATTTTTCGAATACTTTTCAAGAAGTCGAACTTTGAAAAAGTTGTACTGTGCGCAAAAAAAGAAAAGAAAAAAAATATCCTGAATAATCTTAGTTCTAATGATCAGATTTTCACGTACTAAGTGTCAATCCTAGTGATTCATGGAGGTAACCTCAAATATGCTAATTAATTAGTGCAAAGTTTTAATTAAGTTAAAAAATCAGACTTAAAACATACTTTCATTGAATAAACATATTTTTACAGATTTGGATTCCTAACCCTCAAGAAATAGGGGGTAGCCGCAACGTGGAAATTGTGGCCCCAATAGTTTAGGCAAGAGAGCTAAAGAAAGTTTGGTTCCTTTAGGGTTAATTTCACTTCTTTGTGCATAGTCATATCTTTTAAACTAATTTGGCAAGTTCCAAAAAATTTGCACGCACTGGTGAAACGCGTTTGCAAAGAGATAATTTCATCCAAATAATGATTTTTAATAATCTTTTATTTATTTAGTTTATTCGGGGATGAAAAATTTTTGAGTTTATGAGGCATACATATTTTATAACACATTAATCTACGCATTTTTCTTTTGAGAAATCTAAAGTTTCAACGATTTTTATAGTAGAATCCGAGAAAAACAAAAATTAATTTTTCAAGAAAAACAAAAAAAATTGTGATAATGAATATATTAATGAGAGATCTGCAACTGACGTAGTGTGGGTATCTCCATCCTGATTGGTAGTTGAAACGTGGCGTCTGTTTTCGTTAGCAAACTGTTCTTTCCCTTTTATTTCGAGTAAGTCAAACCCGTCAAGTATCAATTCTCTTATGAGAAATATTCTAAATTCTTTCACGAAGATTCTTTCTCAAAGATTTCTATTTTTATCACTATATATTTACACACAGACTTAACACAGGATACTTAGACAGGCACAAAGCCATGGGGAACATTAAACAAACTAATTATTCATCAAAGTTGCCAGGTACACAATACAAATATATTTCACGGCTACAATAAAATATATAAACAAATAATAAATCTAAGTTAAATGGAAGAAGTAGACTAGAAATAAATCTATTTCAACAAATTCGATGTGCGATACGGTTAACTTTCCGTTAATTTAACTTAATTTTGTTAACGATAAGTTAACTTAAATTAACTTATCGTTAATTAATATTCTAACTTATGTAGGGAAACTTAGCTCAACATTAATACTCCATTTTGCTGATAAGGATTAGCTGGCTCTGACGTCATAGGTCACATGTGTGGGTATGGGAGGTCTTCTTTTTGAAGTACAAGTACCCAATTGTGGCGATGAATACGTAAACTTACGTAACGTAGATCTGTTTTACACATATGTAGCGTCGAAATTGATTTATGCCTTTTCGTTCGTTGATAGTGGATTACTCATCTCTTTTTTAATGGCGTAATGTGGGTATCTTGATTCTGATTGGTTGCTGAAATGTAGCATTTGCTTACGATGGCAACTGTTCTTTCCATCCAATTTCGAGTAAGCCAAGCCCACCAAGTATCAGTTCTCCTTAGTGACACATTCTGTAATTTCCCCCCAAAGATTTCAGTTTTTTCACTATATATTTTTTACTTAACACAAAGATAGGCAAGCCTACTGGTAACTAATTATGCATCAAAGTTGCCAGGTGCGCAAAAAAAAAAAATATATTTCAACAGCAATAAAATACATAAGCAAATAATAAATCTAAGTTAAGTGAAAGACTTAGACGAGAAAGAATTATATTGCAACTCATTCGATATGCGATATGGCGTTGTATTTAATTGACTTGACATTAATTAACATTTTAACTTATGTGGAGAAACTACGCTTAACTTCATTCCATTTTGCTTAAAAACAATCAGATGCCGCTGACGTTATAGATCATATGTGTGTGTATCTGTGATCTTTTTCTTCTGGAAATGCAAGTACCCAATTGTGTATACATAAATATATTTGCAAACTCATAAGTTGCATAATTACTTTACCTTAAAAATTTCCATGCCTATTGGTAATCGCATATCGTCTCGTATTATCCTCGCTGTTATTTTCGGGTCAGCTTCTGCATCGTTTAAAGTACAGAGATCTTCGGCACAATCTGATATTTTCGGTCTACTGCTGTCTTCATTTCGGGAAACGTCACTGGTTCTTGACCTAAATTTTGTACGAATATTTTATTTAAATATCAATAAAAGAAATCAGTTATTTTCACGGTTATGAATTTTCTTAAGAACCATATTAGGTGGGCCAACTGTTCTCCCTTAGTACAGACAGATAGTACAAAGAATGAAAGAACATCCATGCCTTGTCCGGGATTCGAATCCAGAACCTTTCTGTTGCGAGGCCAGCTCCCTTACCTCTGCACTGTCCAGTCGGAATTATATTAAACCATCAAAACATAAGTTTACAAAATATTTGTTTGTTTTATGTATTTTTAAACTTAAAATGTTAACCTTTTAGCTAATTTATGTTCTATAATATTTGTAATGTTTTAAAGGTATCCACTTAATTCCTATGGGAAGAAATTCAGAAACTTTGATTCTATTCATAGTATTTTATTAATTAATCCACAGATTATTTAACGAATAAAGTCACTGACTTATTGATCGAGAAATTAAATTAATTCAACTCAGTAAAAAATTAAAGTAAGTTATCGATCAACTCGGTTAAATTGTTCATTCTTCTCTGTGGGGGAAAAAAAACTGTTATTGGCCAACTCAGTTAAATTGTTAACTCAACTCAGTAAAAATTAAAAGAGTTATCGACCAAATACGCATTTAGTTTCAGATAATTTATTTTACTAACCATTTTTATCTTATATAAGACGGTGGGAAGTATATTTCCTACTAACATCATTAAATATTGTTGCTTAGCTATTTTTTCACATACAATTTGCTCGGCCATCATCTAATAAATACAGTAAATAAAAAAAAGTACCAAAGAAAGGATTTGTTTCACATAAAGGATGAAAATAGTAATGGCTGCTTGGGGTCAAGAAGGGAGACAAAAACTGGGAAACTATTTTCCCTTGTGTGTTAAGTGCTTACTCAATTGATCATTTTCATTGAGT